TTTAAATCATGATTTAAACCGACTTGATTTAAATTTAAATCCACCCTGGTCAGGAACCCTTATTTTGAAGTAGAAAGTCTCATCCTCTTTGCAGGATTTCCTCCTACATGCTGCTGTAGAAGGAAAGGTCCTGACTCACCTGAACCTCCTCCTCCTCCTCCTCCTCTTCCTCTTCCTTCATCTGCAGAAGAATCCCAGGTGGCTTCTGTGTCAGAAGAACCTATGCAAGAAAGGGAAAAAAAGCCAACCCTAAAGCTTACTTGAAAACATGCCTCAGGATTTGTAAAGAATACTCACCGCCACAAGACTTTTTAAAAGATCTTTTGGAAGGAAAGCTGGCAAATCAAATCTCTATTAGGGTCAAAGATCAGCATGTTGGAAAGCTGGCAGGTTTCTGCTTGATAGCAGGTGGTTAGTACTTGTCTGGGTTTTTCAAAGACTTTGGTAACATTGTGGAATCCAAGGCCAAGGAAGCACAAGAATGGATTGCATTATCCAGGGAAAATGAATGTGTACTATTCCACTTCACCAGAGTTCCATGAAAAAAAGAGGTCTCTATATTGTTTAATTGTAGCCCAGTTGAAAAAGAAAATTGTAGGAGGAAGTGACATCATGGCGTCTAACAGCTGCAGGAGAATGGAGCTCTCTGTCCCCTGCGCTGGCTTCTGCTTGTTCATGGGCTTTGAAAAAAGCCAAACCCTCCTTGGAGGGGAGGTGAAGCTAAGGAGGACTGTCCTGTGAGGTTCCGGGGGAGATCACAACTCTCCTGAAGAGCCCCGGGGCTTTTTTCTCCTATGCCATGTTGAGAGAAGAGACAGCTTAAGATGGCTGACACAAAGCTGGAGACAGCTTAATATCCAAGAAGAGTGCTGATGCAGATTTGGTGAACAGTGTTTGGAACTAGATGAGAAGAATCCTTTTTAATTCAAAGTGTAACCCCAAAAGAATATTCAGGAAAGAGACTCATAATTACGTTTAAAGTGGTGGCAACCTATCTATTTTGAGTAAAATCTTAGAACTTTGAAACAAATGAGAAAGAATTAAAGGAAGAAAATAAAAAAAAATGCTAAAATACAGAAGACTGGATCTTTAAATTGGACAGGAGTTGGGTGTTGGAAAGGCATTTTAAAATGATGGAGCTATTTATATAAAAAGTTAACACCACATTTAAATTTTGGAGTATTATAGTACATTTGTATAAAGAAGAATAAGTTTGAAAGCGGATTTAAGAGTACCAACTGTTGAAAAAAGAAAGGTACAACATACCCCCAAAATCCTGGAAAGACCTGGTTGTAGAAATTTAAGTGCGAGATTAAGAAACCGCTAAAAGCTTCAAAATAAGACTAAAATGGCAGAAGGATTTATGAAGGTTTCGTTTTTTGACTAATTAGAGGAACAGACCCGATTAATTTAAATTTGGGATACAAAATCTCTTGGACATTAAATAATCACTTGAGAACTGGCTTTAGTTTTAAAAATAAGATTGTTGTTAGACAAAAAGAAACAGAATAAATAAAAATAAAAAACAAAAATGAGTAGAATTCGGGAAGAAATTGCCATTAATCCTGGATTTTAAAGACACCTGACAAGAGGATGTGAGGAGATTTTGAATAAAATGCAGAGCATAGATGAAAAGTTGGAAATTACAGTACAAAGGACAAGGAGAAACCATGACTAGAGGTGGGTTCCTACCAGTTTGGACCGGTTCAGCTGAGTAGGTAGTAACTTGGCCTGCCAAAGCCCAAACTGTTTCTCTCGGAGGCACCATAGGCGCCACCATTTTGTTTTTTGCTTCTGCGCATGCACAGCTTTTTAAAATAATATTGTGCATGTGTACATAGCACATATCAAGCATATGAATGAAGTGCGCGCGCAGTGCTTCCCTGAGCAAACTGGCGGCAGGAGCAACTGGAACCCATTCCTGACCATGACGCTCAGGAAGAGGAGTCAACTGAAAGAGTAGCGGGAAAAACAGAACAGATGAAACAATAAGCAAGAAGACAAGACAAAAAGGAGATTAAAATAAAAATAAGAATGATTGATGAAATAAACTAAGGGGAGAGTATTTTAAGGGAAATTAACAGGAAATAGAAATACAGGGAGATTTTTTTGGGAGAGAAACATGGGTAAGAGTAGATAACTTGAAACTTAGACAATGGAATAGGGTAGAGAAGGGAGAAATATTTAAGAAGATTGGCCAAGCAGTGCAAGCAGATAGAGTAGATCCAAGAGAAGAACATGGGAAACAAGCTAAGAAAGGGAAAATCAAAGCTTTAAAATTGATGATGGATTAAAAAGAGAGGGGAATGTTTCCTTAAAATAACTGTGAGATAAGTTAAAATGAGGTTCCACATTAGAGAATGTAATATTTCCCCCCCAGGTGAATTAATAAGAAGGGAACCTAGGCTTTTAATGATGACAATTTTGAATATATTTGAATAAAATTGTTGCTTTAAAAATAACATATAGAAATATTAAACAAGCAAAAGATGGAAGAGTGTAACTTAATATAAATATGTGTATTATTAGAATAGCCATACGTTTGTTAAAATGTAACAAATATGACTATCAACATTTTATTTGTAGTAAAAGGAATGATATGTAGAATTTGGCATGAAAATAACATATTGAATTATTGAACAAGATAATAATGAAGAATTATAATTCAACAAAACATGTGTATGATTACTATTATTAGAATTATATAACTTGTCAAATATAACTAAGATGAACATTGTTTTATTTGTTTTAAAATGGGATTAGAAAGGGATATTTTTAAGTATAACAGTAGCGTAATTAAAAATTAAAAAGGGGAACAATGGAAGGTTATAATCCAATATAGATCAGTGTATTACTATTAGAATTATATGTTTGTTAAACATAACAAATATGATTATTGGTATTCTATCTGTAGTAAAAAGAGCGATTTCAAGAATATGGATATTGGCAAAAAAATAATATATTGAAATATTGAATAATTAAGGCAAGATTATAATTCAACAAAATATATGTATTACTGCTAAAAGTCTTTAGATTGTTAATTGTGTTGAATATGAAGTTTTTATTTGTACTAAATGTAACTCTTGGTTGTTTTATTTGTACTAAATGTAACTCTGGTTCCATATTGTTCACATAACAATGTGTTTGTAAAAAAGAAAAAGGAAATTGTAGGGTTGGTTGGAAAAGGAAATTGTATAACTTGGTTGCTATGTGCAAAGCTATGGGCTTCACAAATAATGTCTGTATGTTCCTGATCTTGTCTTGATATGCATTTACTATAGTTTGATCTCCAACCAGCTTTCAATTCTGCTTTAATGATTCTATTGTTTGTACAAAACAGTTTATTATACTTGAGAAGGATGTCTATGGATATTCTCAGTCATCCAGGTCATGGTTGTCTCATAGGTGCATTTTCAAAAGGTAAGTAGACTGTGTTTTTTTTTCCTTTGAGGAAGAAGAAGTTTCGCTTCCTATCCAAGAAGTTTCATCAGTTTTGGTTGGATGGGGNGTGGGGAGATCTCCCTTATCATTACAAAGCCAATACAAAGAGAGAGAGAAAAGATCTTAGAACAAAAACTGCCACAAAGTGTGGTCTTTCACCTCTAACTCTTCTGAAGGTACCTTTTCCATTTCGGTTTCAAAACTCTCTCTCTGTTCACATTTGATAACAGAGTCACAAAAATATATTCTTCTTTGTTCCTATCTATAGGCCAAATATTTTGGTTTCTTAGTTTTATGTCCAAATAGTTTTAGGGAGTAAATCCCCCTGAAAGAGTGGAATATAATTCTAAGTAAATAAACATAGGACTGAACCATTTCAGAAATGCAGAACTAGGTTAAGGCAACATCTGTTTTCCAACCAAAGCCTTCACATCTCAAATCATTCCCTCCATCAAGAGGCTACATTGGAGGTACAAAATACACACACACATATATATATATATTCCCCATAGAACCATCACTCTGGATCACCTTCCAGAAGAGGCTGTGTGAATATTGTCATTCCTCATGACATTTTAGAAATATTGTAGGTTTTAGAGCCTTTCATTATCTCTGATAATTTTGATATTATTTGATGGTGAAGCAACAGTTTGGTCCAGCTGTTATTTGTAGCGATTTTACTGTACTACAATGTAGTTTGTTTTAATTCAAGGCCTTACTGGACTAAAAAAAAAACACACCCCGATAAATACTCTCAAAAAATAATAAATAATAGTTTAGCCTTCCTACATCTGCTATCTTTCTATGTGTGGGATTACATTCCCTCCACCAAGAAGCTATGTTGGAAGTACCAAATATTTTCCACAGAACCATTACTCTAAAAAACAAACAAAAAAAAACCTTTATGGAAAAAAACCAACCCATCATTCTGGATTGCCTTCCAGAGGCGGCCGTGTGGATATTGCCATTCCTCAAGACATTTTAGAAATATTGTAGGTTATAGAACCTTTCGTCATATCTCTAATTTTAATATTATTTGATGGTGAAACAACAGCTTGGTCCAGCTGTTATTTTGTAGTGATTTTACTCTACTCTGCAATGTAGTTTCTTTTAATTCATGGCCTTATTGGATTTAAAAAAAAAACAAAAAACGAGATAAATACTCTCAAAAATAATAAATAAATAATAGCTCAGCCTTTCTACATCTGCTATCTTTCTACGTGTTGGATTATAACTCACATCACCCCAAAAGCATGACCGTGGTGGCTAAGGATAAAAAGAAATGCCATTCTAGACATCTGCAGAGTCCCAGGTGAGGGAAAGCTATAGCAATATAGTGAAAGTGAATGTGCTCTTCTTTTCTTCTGAAGCAAGTTTTCTCAACCGTGGTCAATTTCAGATGTGTGGACTTCAATTCCCAAAATTCCCCACCCAGTACATCAACATTCTGGGAGTTGAAGTCCACCTATCTGAAATTTGCCACGGTTGAAAACCACTGCTCTGAAGGCCCAAGCACTGCCTTATTTCATTAAAGTAATTTAGCCCCCAGGGAAGGAAGGAAATTTCACCCAGATTTCCCAAGAAAAGAGGAAAGGAAAAACAGAAGTGCCGTGGAGAGTGAAAGTATCTCAGAGAAAGTATCTTTGGAGAGCCTACCATGTTGTCTTTCAAAATAGATTGATTAGCTGATTTCTTTGCCTTGGGAGGATTGTTAGAAATGAAGAGTTGCCACTGAAGTAATAGGTTGTTGGATTCAATTCCAAATCAGACTCTTGCACATAAAGAGGTTTTTATTATTATATTATTATTATTTTAAAAAGTGGGAAAGGTCAGCTTTCCACACTGCAACAGCGTAAGAGTGGGAAAAGTATTACTGATTTCTTTCTACATACCAACAGTGTAAAAGCAAGGAGTGCCCTGGCCTGCAAGGAACAACATGATGGCCCCACAGAGTTCTCTCATCGCAACAATCCCAGCTTGACCCACATATGTGCCACAGAAAGAAGTGAAGGAAGTGAGAAAAGCAGATTCTGTCCAATACCCCACCACAAGGTGTTCCAGGGAACAAACACTGCACTGCCTGATATGAGTAGCAAGGGGAGACCCATCCTGGCTATCAAATGTTTCTTTCCCGCTATCGAAGCTCTGCAGGAGCCAGATCTAAAATTAGGACCACAGGGCTAAACCTGGCCACCAATCTACCAGATCTGTTTCTGGGGGGCAGCCCTGTTTTTCAGCCCAACTACAGAGCAATTCATGGTCAAGAGAACAGCGTAGGCATCTTGTCCCAGAATCCTTTACAGCGTTTACACAAATCGCAGGCCCTGTTGTGCTAGCATTCTCTGCCAGGCTGTATGGAATCCTGAAACGTGTGCCTCTTGGACCCTGTCTGTGATACAGACCCTGGTGAAATAATATAACCACGAGAATCTCTTCCAAATGTTGTGATCGAAGTGTCCCACTCACCCATCCCGTGTTCCTTCTGAAATTACTTCTCTACCACCCAACGTGTCAAATTGTGACATGGATAGGACTCAGGAGAGGATCAACGAGGCTTTCTGCGTTAGGAGGGTTCATCATGTCCAGACCTTCACTGGACTCTCTCAAATGGATCCGCTGATGGTACATCATGCTGTGTCTCCGCCTAAACCTCACTCCGCACTCACCACACTGATAGGGTCTTTCTCCGGTGTGAATTCTAAGATGCCGAGTGAGGTGCGACTGTCGGCCAAACCGTTTCCCACATTCAATACACGGGTAGGGTCTCTCGCCAGTGTGGGTGATCCGATGCCGAGTCAGATGGGATTGCCGACTGAAGGTTTTTCCACACTCGGTGCAAGGGTAGACCTTGGTTCCCAGGTGGGTCTTCTGGTGTCTCGTGAGACCGTAGAGATCATGGAATATTTTCCCACACTCCGTGCACTGGTAAGCTTGCTTCTCAGTGTGGGTTCGCTGGTGAGCGGCCAGCTCTGAAGGCCATATGAACCCCTTCTCACACTCTGTACAGAAGTAGCGTTTTTCTCCTGTGTGGATGCGCTGGTGGGTGGCAAGTTCCGATGGCCATCGGAACGCCTTGCCACATTCTCCGCAAGCATGGCGTTTCTCTGTCATGCCAGTTCCCAGGTAGGGAGGATGATGAGGTGGCTGGCTGATGCTGTTCTCACAATCAGCAATGGGAGGCAAACTGTTGCCTGTGTGGGTGCTCTGATGGGCTGTCAGCTCTGAGGGCCACTGGAATCCCTTCCCACACTCGGGACAGAGGTAGTGCTTGTTCTTGTTGTGAGTTTTCTGATGAGCGGCGAGTTCAGAGGGCCACCGGAACCCTTTCCCACATTCAGGGCAAAGGTGAGGCTTCTTGACTGTGTGAGGTTTTACCATCTCGCCATTGGGAGGAGCTTTCTCACCTGTAAAAATATTCTGCATTATACTGAACTCGGAGGGCCACTGACCCAAAGTGTCAGCATCCATGTTGTAGTGCGGCTGTTCAACGGCATGGATCCTCTGGTGGATGACTAGCTCCGTGGACCACCGGAATCGCTTGCCACATTCGATGCAGACATGGCACTCCTCACTCATGTGGGTTTTCTGATGCCTGGTGAGATGTGAGGATCGACCAAACTGTTTCCCACATTCAGCGCAGTGATAGGATTTGGGCCGGGTGTGGACTTTTTGATGTAGGGCCAGTTCTGATTGGCAACGGAAACGCTTCCCACATTCAATGCAAGGGTGCCGTTTCTCTCTTATCCGTATCCTCTTCGGAGCCAAATGCTGCACACCGCCATTGAGTCTTTCTCCAAATATCATCTGAGGATCTGCCCTGTTGGGAGTCTGGGCACCTGCTTTGATGTGGGAATAAGAAAGAAATCAAGGTTTATAGGCATCACATAGCTTTGCTGACTCAATAAACCATTATCAGCCAACTTATATTCATTCATGCATAGGGGAAACCATGATTGGCCAAGTTACTAATTCAGCTTAGATTAATTGACTGAATTAATTATGTCTACACAAGAGAAACTTATGCAAGCAAAATACATTCTTGGTTTTGAGACATCACACACATACCCACTCATATTCCAATAAGTGCTTCCATGGAAGAGCCTTTCCATTTTATCTTACACAGCAGATAATATCCCTCCTAAAGTGGTCTCCTCCTCAACCAAAGATTCTATGCATATAATTTGAGACTTCATTTTCCATAGGAGAGGATTTACTGCAGCACTTGATTAATCTGCCCTACTTCTGAAAGCCAGAGGAGTGAGGCTTGGTTAGTATTTTAGATGGGAACTGCAAACTACATTAAGCAATCAAAAGTCAGCTGGGCCATTTATCCATGAAATCGCCAGGAGTCAAGCTCTGCTTGAAGATTTCACCTTATTTTTTGGGGGGGCCCATATTGCCAGAAACTCTAGTTGTAATCCCATTGTATTTGAGATTACAGAGAGCTCTGATGGTGCTGTGATTGAAGTACAATATTGCAGGCAAACTCTGTTTACAGTCTGGAGTTCGATCCTGATGGGGCTCAAGGTTGATTTAGCCTTCCATCATTCCAAGATCGGTAAAATGAGAACCCAAATAGTTGAGGGCAACATGCAAATAATGCTGACATTGTAAATCACTCAGATAATGCTGTAAAGCACTATGGGGTGGTATAGAAGTCTAAATGTTTTTGTTATTCGTATATTTAGGTCTCCATTTAGACTAATCATTGTAATAACATACCGTACATATGATAATAACACACAAACAGAAAGACAAAATCCAAAGTTTTATCCAAAATAGGGACGATAGCATCTACAGCAAATGGAATTGATGCCCAAACATGCAACTCCTGATATCATAACACAAATGACACAAGTAAATATTTGGGTTAAGACATCTGATACAAATTCAGAAGTTAGGATATTTTGGTGATGACGTTTAGCTACACAAATTATTAGTTATCTCCTTGCAGATGCTACAAGCAAAGAACTAGTGGCTTTTAAGTTATGGTTGGGATTCCCATCTCCCAAGGTCAAAGGTCAGGAATGATAAGAATTGTATAGGTGGTCCTCTATCTATGACCACAATTGAACTTCAAATTTCTGTTGTTAAATGAGATGTTTAGTGACTTTCTCCCCCATGTTACATTTCTTGCCACAGTTGTAAAGTGAATCACTGTAGTTAAGTTAGTCACCCAGTTGTTAAGTGAATCTAGCTTCCCTATTGACTTTGCTTGTTAGAAGGTCGCAAAAGGGGATCCCATGACCCCGGGAACACTGCAGCCATCATAAATATGTATTAGTTGCCAAATATCTGAATTCTGATCATGTGATGGCAAGGATGCTGCAAAGGTCATAATTGTGAGAAATGGTCATAAGTCACTTTTTTCATTGCCATTGTAACATTGAACAGTCATTAAATGAACTGTTGTAATTAGAGGACTACTTTTAGTTGATAATCAAAAAGACAAGCAATTCCCCCAAATGATTTAATGTTCAGTCTGAATGATTTTTTTAAATTAAAAAGTGATTCTTTTGTTCCTTATAAAGACAGCCAAATTTTGCTAGCTTTAGACACTATAATTTTCCTCTGTCCCATGTACTTACTCCAGAGTAAGGCATCACTGATTTTTTTTTTAAAGCTTGCTGCTTAGTCTGCATTAATTGACAATTAGCATTCATTAAGTTGACAAAAACAACATGGGCCTTTTAATTGGCGAAATAGCCTCTTTGTAACATTTAAGGCATTTCCCCCAAAATACAAGCCTGTATTGCAATTCAACCAGACAGCATAAATAATAGTACAACTGGTTTCGATATCTTTCAATTATGTTCATATTTTTATTCTTATCATTACTATTATTAAAGCATATATTTCTATCTCCTATTACTATGACAGCATGGTTAAGCAGTGCTGGAACATTTTTTTTTAGAAACTAGACATAAGATGGCTGGAATAGATTTCCAATAGTAGGAATTGTAGATAGTCCTCGACCACAATTGAGCCCAAAATTTCTGTTACTGAGCGAGACATTTGTTAAATGAATTTTGTCCAATTTACGACCATTCTTGCCACAGTTGTTAAGTGAATCACTGCAGCTGCTAAGTTAGTGACCCAATTGTTAAGTGAATCTAGCTTCTCCATTCACTTTGCTTATCAGAGGGTTGCAAAAGGGGATCATGACCTCAGATCCTTGCAATTATCAAAGATATGAGTCGGTTGCCAAATTTCTGAATTTGGATCACCTGACCATAGGGATAGCAATAGCAATAGCACTTAGACTTATATACTGCTTTACAGTGCTTTACAACCCTCTCTAAGCGGTTTACAGAGTCAGCATATCGCTCCGAACAAACTGGGTCCTCATTTTATCCACCTCGGAAGGCTGGAAGGCTGAGTCAACCTTGGGCCTGGTGAGATTCGATCTGCCAAACTGCTGGCAGCAGAAGTTGCATGCACTTGTACTGCACTCTAACCACTGTGCTACAATGGTCGTAAGTATTAAAAAGGGACATGTCCCTTTTTTTCAGGGCCGTTGTAACTTTCAACGGTCACTAAATGGACTACTGTAAATCGAGGACTACCTGTACAACATCAACTCCCTGGGTGAAATTTTGTCAGCTGCTCCCCCACAAGACTGTCATCTTAAATGGAAGAATTGGAAGCTTCTTCTTTTCACAATGATCATGCCGAACAAGCCCACGCTTGCTAATGCATTAAAAAGAAAGGATCTGTCATCTATTTGTCTGGTACACAATTATCAAAATAAGATTATCCTGATGCAGAAGAAAATCTGAATTCATCTGCTTCATTGGTAAGTACTAAATGAGCTCGAGGGCCATTAAGGACAGCAGACTTCGGGCAATTAGCAAAAACCAATGCCTTTTACTAATGAGAGACTGTTTTGGAGCACAAAAAACTGTAAAGCCTTTTCGTTGTTATAGCCAGCCTGGCCAGCCTCTTGACAGCTGAAGCCTGCGCTCAGAAGAATGGGGTTGGAGGAGGGAGATTAAGATCACAGCGATTCAAAATAAGTTGGGTCAGGAGCAGGGTGGATAAAAATCGATGTTTTTTTTAAAAAAACACCAATTTTTAAAATCTAAAAGATTTTTTTAATTTAAATCTGATTTTTAAATTTTTTAAATCAAATTTATATTAATAAAATGTTTTTGGAGTAAAAAAAATCTTATCTAGTTTTCCATTTAAGATACATTAATAATTTAGTTTATTCAGCACAGTTTATTCAGCTTAGTTATGTAGCATGATGCGGCTGTGTATTCTGCAATATTGGAGCTGTTGGGCGAGTCAAGGGGTCAGAGGAGCAGCCGCTGCGGGACGGAGGTGACTCGCTCTTTAAAAATCATGATTTAAACCGAGTTCATTTAAATCAATAGCAATAGCAATAGCAGTAGACTTATATACCGCTTCATAGG